TTATTTATGTGCATGTTATAAATATTTTATATTAAAGATAATATAATTATAAAAATATAATCTCTAATGACAAATATTATTCGCCGTTAATGGAAAAAATAAATAAATGAATACAAAGGTAGTAGAGTTTGTAAATAAACAACAGTAAAGACATTTATCCTGCAAACAACGACCATTAAGTTATTACTAGCGAAGGTACATAAAACTCAACTATGTTTTACGAGATATTTAATTGAAGAATTGGTAAACTAAGAGATTTTCAGAATGATAATTGAGAAAGCTTTAAGAAATGTATTTTTCGAAAGCAGCGTGCTCTCTGATAGGTAGAAAGTTTTAGAAATGTTTCTTTAGTTCTCGAAAGTTATTTCATAGGAAACAATAAATTATATTTCTTTAAAGAGTGTATTGCTAATTAACTTCTATGGCGTATTCTTTATTATATAATTCCTAGAAATTTATAGAAACTTTTTAAATTTATAAACATTTTCGTTTTTAGGGATCTTGGATGTTACACTGTCTTTGATAGAAAAAACGAATTTAAATACAATTATTGTCAAGATTTCATTGGCGAGTTATTGGAAATCGTAGAAAATACATGATGTTTATTTATTTCGATTTCAAGAAAATATATCTGAAATTTCTTTCTGTTTCCGACTGTTATGCATTTAAATAACAATAAACCTGTAATCTTTAAAGAATTTGTCGCTTCTCCAAACAGAAAACTTCTCGTTTTGTTTGGTTCAATAACTTTGAACAGTGACATTGAACCAAACAAAACAAGAAGAAGACAAATAAATAAAACAANTTCAATAATTTGACTAATGAACTATAATAATGAAAGTTATAAAATTTAAGTAATTAATTTATTATTATTTCGGAAAGAAAATCGAATTCTTTTATGTTTTGCTTAAGATAAGTTAAATTAGAAACGAGCAATTATTTATTGTCACATCTTCATAATAAATAATTTTTGCAATTATTTCCGACCGCAATTTTTAATCTCAGTTTTTCATAATTATAATTAAGATTAAACAACAATGAACCTGTTTCCATTAAGGAATTTGTCACTTTTCCAATCAGAAAAATTCTAATTGATATCACTATATTAGTTAATATAAGAGAGACTTAATTAATAGAATCAAGAATAAATTGTTATTACAGTGTTTATCAGAAAATTCTGATGAGTTTAATTCATTAAAATAATCTTATTATTTATAATTACGAACGTATTTTATGCTAGAACTATAATATAAAATACTTATTCATATATTAATCCATTTATGTTATGAACATATTGTACAGTACATACATTTATAGTATGTACAATATTTATACATATATTTTACCAATAATATATAGTTAATAAATTATTATTATAAAAAATAACATATTCTTAATAGTCGTAAATTATTTGAAATCTCATTTATCTTAAAAAATATTATAATATACTGTACTTACCATTGTATACGATATTGTAACTAATATAAAGGATAACAATACAAAGAAAATATTTCATGATTATTTTCGATTGTGAATAATTTTATATTTAAGAAAATGCTCAACTGAAATTAGTTTTGTAAAATTTATTTATACTTATAGAATATTTTTGAATATTCCAATTCCTTGTTGATGAAGATACGGCACATCTTTCGTGATAATTTGAAGAGAAAGGAAATCAACTGAAACAAGAGATTTAATAGTTTTTCTTTTAAATACGAATATAAAATTACATATAAAGAAATCTCGAAACAATTTATTTTGTGTTGAAGTACTTCTAGAATTTAATAACATTTGACATTATTATAGAAAAACTGAAATAGAAAAATTATAAATTCACTACTCTTAAGTAATGTAATATTGAAAATAATGTACTCGTCTTAAAATGTACATCAATGATGAAATCGCTATTATATTGATATATCCATGCCCTATTAATGACGTAGTTGTTTGTTTAAAATCATTCTTAAGCAATTCGTTGCTGGAAATTTTTGTCAATGTTTTTGAACAAATGAAATACACAAAATGTAGCTCCTTTTTCAATTAATACAGATAATTTCATCTTTTAAGAAGAGTCTGTCTTACAACGGAATCAGCTAGCACGGGTTAAACATGTCACTATTTTGTGACCGTAGGGTCGGTGTCTCGTTGACACTACGTCAGGAGACCTAAAACTGACACCACCGAGTCTCTGGGGGACTCGGAAATCGCGACGTTAAGTCACGCGAGCGGTAGCGGGTGAGCGATTGGATTCGGAGTAGAGGTGAGGAGAGAGACGAGAAAGTAATTTACTCGGATTCCATAATTGTTAACAAATAACAATTTTAATAAAAACTAAAGAAAATACAGATATATTCTATTTCTATTTATACTATTCCGTTCGAGAGACAGAGTTTACACGCGAATCGCGGGTTGATAAATACCTTGCTTCTGGGTCGAAGGATCTGTGGTCACGCCGATGATGATACGCCGATGGAAAGTTCGATCTACTGGTTCTGGATCTTGTCCGTTCACTGGGGTGGAGGCACGGAGGTGTGGAGATGTTATTCTTAAACAGGCACGATCTTTTTCTCTCGGTGTTAATCCTGGGTCACGGTTTTTATTCGGGAGGACGACTTTTGTAGAGGGACTTCGGATGACGACTGACCTCGGGGTCTTTTTTCCTTTCTCTTGTTATTCCTCTTGGGTTTTTTTCATGAGGTCAGGTGGTTGCCGTTAACGGTCTGGCGTCCAATATAGGCACTCCATCGAAAGTTCCGGGTGACACATCGCTGACTAGCTGGATCCGCCTCAACAAGGAACCAACTCCGTGGGAAAGAAATTTTTATGGCTTTTAGCCTAACGCTCGATTTTAACTGATTAAAGTTCCAATAAATAAAATTTAAAATAACACTTTATTGTGGGTCTGTTCGTCCCTCACAATTTTAAATACTGTATAAAAATTATTTTCTTTCGTTACTATATGCTAAACAGGACAGAAAAGAGATAATAATATCTTAGGGATACAACTGTGAGGCGTTGGTCTGGGATGAAAAACATTCTTTTATCCGTATATCAAAGCAAAAACGAATCTTGAACTTCGCGATTAATTAAAATTAAGGGAATTAAATTATAAAGGAAAAGGGGCAAAATAAAATTATTTTAATATTAGGAAAACGCAGTAAAAAAGGATAAAAATTAGTAAATTAAATTTTTTATATGAGAAGATAAACAAAAACAAAAAATGTTATTTAAGGTACTGTACACTACGTACAAAGTTCGTTAAACATCGAACGAAAGACGGTGTCGAATCTATATATATAATCGAGATGGAATAATAATAATAAGCGCAGGGCCCAAACGGTTAGGAGTTGAAAGTTGGTACACAGTTAAAGTAGTACGTCACGAGAACACACACTATGAAGGGACTTTTCGAAATCCTCCCCACGGGAGAGAGGGAGAGAATTAAGGCTTACCTTGAAGAACTCGGCTTCTATTGTACTATTTTAGATGCGGTTTTTTTGCGTTTTTGACTGCGTTTTAGTAGGCTACCACATTTAGTAGGGTACCACGGGGGATAAAAGAAGTGTATTCCTTAACAATGGAAGTGTTACATTGAAAGTGTTTATATGGAAATGTTAACAATGGAAGTGTTAAGAGAAAGCGTCGTGCAAGATTTACAGGCGCATATTTTTAGATCCATGTAAAAATTCTCTAATTAGTCTGGAAACGGGGGACCCAATTCTTGCATTCTGTGAAAACGGGTAAGATTAGCTACAATGTAATTATCTTAATCTTCGCTATCGTTACTTTTTGCCCGAGCAACGCCGGGCTTATCTGCTAGTTGTATTAATAAACATTCGCCTTTCTCGGGAGAAATGCGAATGTTACAAAGTAAAATTGGACCGATCTGGTCCAATTTCACCTTGTAACAGAAAAAGACCAATCGGGGACCGAGAAAGGGAATTAATAACCAATAAAGTAACAGTTTTCAAGACAAGATATTTAATCTAAGGCCACAGGGACACTCGGTTTTTTGCCGTGGAGTCTTGCGAAACTATGTCCCTCGCTGGGGGTGTTTCCCGAGGGGTTTCATCTCTGGTCTCGCTTTACAGAATTTATGTGACACCCTGTATAATATTTTTTGTGACATGGGTCTATAAAAATTTTAGAAATTATTTCCTGACATTTTTGATGACGTAAATTAAAATATTCAAGAATAATCAGTAAAATATCTTTTACGGAATTATTTTTACTGTACGATAGACGATCTGCTCATTTTAAATATAAAGAATGTGTGTTAATGTTAATGACATTAATAGTTGTTTTGGACAAGAGTAGGGTGACCAGATACTGTAGTCATGAATTAATCGGAGAAAACTTTACTTCAAAATGTTGAACATTGTTTTAATTGCGAAAAACATAAGTTATTAGCAAATACTGGTATAATGGCAAACTAACGCTATATTATAGGGAAAGTTGCTGAAGTCGTACCCTATAAAAAATCAAGTATAAATCTCTTAAATGAAACAGAATTGTTTTATTCAAAACTTTTGTGAATCGTTTACGCCGTTTTACATGAAATTAACAAAAGTTATTAAATTTAAATTGGTACGATCTATAGCTTAATTCGTACCTAAGAATAAAATTAAACAAAAACGACTAAAGCCTATATTTATTAAGTAATTTATTTGAATACAAATATTTTTATCGTGTTAACGTTAGGTTTTACAAACATCGCAAACATATTTCTTTTAATTATAATTCTTTTAATAATACTTCTAACATATTTGTTTTTTTGTCAACTCCAGTACATTTATTGTGTTACCGTTAGGTTTTACAAACATCGCGAACATATTTCTTTTAATTATAATTCTTTTAATAATACTTCTAACATATTTGTTTTTTTGTCAACTCCAGTACATAGATCATACGACTGTATCTTATGTTTTAAGCACTGAATCATGCATTCTTCACAATCTTCTGCACAAAGTTTACAAAACCAATCGCTTTTCCTTTTTTTCATTTGTTTTATCTTTTAAACTTTCATTGTTTGTACCTAACAACTGCTCATTTTCTTTTATTTTCTGCTCTTTCCATTAATTAAGGTTGCTTTTGGAGTGTGTAAAGACAAGGAAGGGTTATCTTTCATGAACTTATAGTATCATTTTTTCCTGCACTTCTTTTTTCTGTGTTAAAACGATGTAGTAATTTATATTTTTCCTCCAATTGAAGAGCCAGTTTTTATAGATCAGCTGCAGTAAGATCAAAGAAACATGATTCTAAACTAAAAACATGTTGAATTAACTCTTTCTCCATATTTTTAGTCAGACCTTTAGACTTCCGAATTTGATTTTCTTATTTAATTCTCGACGATGACGTCGTACAGTTGATTTAGGGATTTTATATTGTCTGCGTGCTTTATTAAATGCTTAATTAATACGACATGTCACTGCATAATACTTAATGCCTCGTCCGTATCTTATTTCTTTTATTATAAATTCGTTTCAACATGTATTAAGCAATATAATTAAACAAAGAAGAAAATCAAAATGAAAGCAATATTATATGTTGTTGAATGTATTATCTTAAGACATTCCGCAGATAAATGTTAATAATAGCGAGAGTAATTCCTTAAATAGTACCAGTACGATTTGGAAATCTTACGTGGCCACGACTTAAGGCACGGAACGACTTACATTTTAAATAAACACAAGAAAACACAGAATAAAGCTATTATCAGTTGTATATTTATCTGCATAAATAACTGAATTGAAGACGAAATCCAGATTATATCATTTACAACGATACACGCTTCACTAAAAATAAAAAAAAATATATAAAGATTATAAGCTGTATTGTGTAGTAACTCAGTTAATTTCAGGTAATGTAAAAATTATTGTTATCATTGTACACTCTATCCCCAAATAGAAACGGCTCGTCGTTTTACATTGTTGTTCCCAAGAATTCTAAAATTAAATTTAAACAATTTAATTATTGATAATTGGTCATTAATAATAAATATTTAAAATTTATTAAGAATATTACATTTTATATTCATACTTACCTTATAGTTTTTAATAAAAGAATCATCACATTCATTAGGATTTTTTGGTCGTGGCTAAAAAATAAAATAAAAAATATTTACTTTATTTCTTATACGTACAGTTTAATTAATGATATTTTAAAAAGGAATACTCACTTTGATTCCATTTAAAACTTCTAGTTGAAATGCTATACGGTATTGAGACGTCTGATGAAATATAATTATGTGAAATTTAACTACAGACATTTCAAATAAAAATATTTGAAACAAAAGTTTTTACCTCTCGAATATACGAATTTACTTTGATGGAGCATTTCGTATCAAGTTTTTTCTGACATGAAAATAGTTTCTAACGGAAGAAAGAAAAAAAATTTTTAAATCATTTGGCTTCAAGGCTTTTGTTTATAGTTATTTTTAGTTATAATATTTTGGACTATATATATAGTCCAAATTTATTAAAGTTTATTAAGAATATTGTTGAATATGTGTTGAAAGTCCATTTCTGATCTAATTATAATCAAGCTTTTTAAGATTTTGTCGCCTGTAGGCAGATAAAATTTTGCGCCCTTTTGTGAAAGAAAAGATAGGATAGAACATTAGATATATGTTAATTTTTGAACATTTATAAACATTAATCTTTTATAATCAATATAATTAAGTTAACTTCATTTAGTTTCGAAAATACATTACCCAGAAACACTTATTTTTATAGAAATTTTACATATTAACAAACAAATCATGTAATTATAACGTTATTATAAAAATTTTCCACCTTAGGCACATGCCTACTTTACCCATTGAAAACTGCTTCTGTATTATAATGTAGCATAATATTCACATAAGTTTAATCCGATTTTTTTCTATTTCTATATTCCTTACCCTACCTATATTGGCCCGTCCCATTGACATTTATTCTTTCGTGTCAAAATAGAAGTTAAGCAATCATATTGCCGATTAAATAAATCAAAACAAAATTAATGTGCAGAAGATAGACAATATCTTAAATTAAATTATGACTGAAATAAGAACAGTAATGAATGGTTTGACCAATATATAAATGAATTTTATAATAATAATAGTAGATACAGTATGATGGTCTCTGCCCCAGCAAATGTTATTCATTTATTAATCTCAATAATCTTATAAGGATTATTGGGATTAAGAAATAAATAAAAACATAAAACATTGGTTAAGCAATTGTGCTTGAAATTGAATCTCCATTTATGGTTGTTTCTTTATAAATAAGTACAAATTTTATAGCACTAGAGAGGGGTTGAGATTTCACGTCGACTTGAAATGCATATGTAGAAGAAAGAATTTAAGGAATTGTACGTCTTAACTTTTGGATATTTTAGCTTATTTGCAGAACGAAATACTATACCTATAAATATAGGATTATTTAGTTAAAACTCGTAAGAATACAGAAACATATAATTAAAAAAAGTATAAAATAAACGTTAAATTTCATCTCCGCATGTAGATAATTCAAGACATCCAAATTGTTTCTAATGTTAATTGTAACGTACAATTTACGGACGAATGTGAAATGGTAATCGGTTAAAAAGTTAAATTTGAAGAAAATATATATACTCGGCACCATCGAAAACAGCTAGAAACATACTTTGTGCTCGTTGGTATATTTGTATTAAGTAATTTTCTTTTTATAGTAAATTACAGATTTGCCACTTTTTATAATAATATCCATGTTTAATATGATTTGATCAGACGTTTTACTACATTTCTAACAATTTTTTTGATGTAAAATTAAATGTTACTTGCATTTTATCATATAGGGCCTATTTATTTTACAGTAATAAGACTTATTAAAATGTAATATTTAATTTTTTGAAAAATATTAAAAATTTTAATTACTTTATTTGTAAATAACCTAGCTTTAAAGTTGATTTTTATTTAAAAATTAAATCCTTAATAAATATAAGAATTCGATGTTTAACATTGGAAATTGAAAAACTTTTCAGAAAAAAATAGTCTTTCCATTACAATGTCATTCACAGAAATCCCGAATGGAAGGAATATGTCGGATGTACAGTACAGTAAAGATCTGTATAACATAAAATATATTTTAACCATTAAATTTTCCAATACAACTGCTTAAAATTTTAAATTAATGTTTACTTATTCAGCACAGTTTACAGGTTAAAATTAATGGAAAATAAGATAGTTGAAGACATTTTAGAAGCTCGATTATTCTTAAATAAAACGCTATTAAACGCGTCAATCAAAATAAGAAAATTTATTAATTTTTTTTCCGTAATCGTAAACATATAATTCAAATTTAAAAAATATTCTATTACCGGTATATATTTCATTATAAAAGACATAAAAAGCTGACTTACCCTAGAGATACGCGCGATAAAACAATCATGAAAAGTCTGTAAAAAGAAAGTTTATCGTGTACAGTAATTATTTAATATTTATTATTTAATTTTATTATTTTTGTCTGAAAATTAATATATAATATAGCCTATATAAAATATTATATCATAGAAGAATGAATATAAATTATAGGCTTATAATTTTTTATAAGACTATGTCTTGTTTATAAAATCATACTGCCGGTCAATATTACCAGCTTAGCGGTATGAAGGAGTGCGTGTCGAGAGTTGATATTTAGCACAGAGTATTAGGTGCCCAAATTATTTGCGCATAAAAAAATCCAGACTCGTAGGTAGTCGGGGGACCGAGAACAGAGTCAAAATAAAATACAAAATGGCGACCCTCTTCTACAAACAGGCAAAACAGCCACCTCACCTCACCGAATTCAGGTAGGAGAGAGTAGCACCCACAATCATTCTAAGAAGTGAACTCTGACCTTAAAACTGAACACCTAGTTTCTTCTATGTTAAATAAAATTTGTAATCTAATTTTGTAAATTTGGGAGTGCTTCAAATATGACGTTACAAGTGGATTTTTTAACATTATCTGGTATAGTAAAATCGTGGGACCGATAAAAATTTGACGTGTAGGGCAGAGGGCGCTACTGCGTGACCTTCGCCTTTTGACTTCACTTTGCTCCTAAACTCTAACGAAGAGAGACATCTTTTTACTTTATTTAGTTAACCTTTCGATTCGACAGCCATGCCGATCTTGAATATGTATTATATCTCGACACTATTGTAAATATCGCGTAGCCGATCCAAATTAAGTAAATTATTTGCCTGGGTCATTTCTCTATTTTTACCGGCAAAACAAAAGACGTGGACTTCACGGACAAGGTAGGACGTGCCACGTACAGATTTTAGCCACGCCGCTAAAGACGTTATACTAGGGTTGTCGTTATATCCGATGACATTATAATCGAGTTAAACTGTATATTGTTTGTGCAAAATAAAAAAATAATTTCAGACAATACAATAGCCACGATTATTTTTTTTTCAAATAATGGGAAATTTTCGTTAGGCATCGACAAAAATTCAACCCGGGCCGATACGCAACGGAAAAAAATTTTGACATACGTTAATTTCACCGAAAATTCATCGTGGACGACCTCGTGGACATGGCCGGCGAAGTCTAATCGATCGCGCTCAAAATCATCGATACCGAAGAACATTGGAGAAGCATAATGAGACCCGCTTGAACGTCAAAGTGATTCCGCTTAGTAGTGAGTCTCAAAGACATAGTCTTGTCCCAAATACGGCTTTGCCGTTTTACTTTTATTTATTTAGGTTTGATATAATTATTGATTAAAATTATTTTTAAAATGTATTTTGTNGAATCATGCATTCTTCACAATCTTCTGCACAAAGTTTACTAAACCAATCGGTTTTCCTTTTTTTTATTTGTTTTATCTTTTAAACTTTCATTGTTTGTACCTAACAACTGCTCATTTTCTTTTATTTTCTGCTCTTTCCATTAATTAAGGTTGCTTTTGGAGTGTGTAAAGACAAGGAAGGGTTATCTTTCATGAACTTATAGTATCATTTCTTCCCTGCACTTCTTTTTTCTGTGTTAAAACGATGCAATAATTTATATTTTTCCTCCAATTGAAGCGCCAGTTTTTATAGATCAGCTGCAGTAAGTCCAAAGAAACATGATTCTAAACTAAAAACATGTTGAATTAACTCTTTCTCCATATTTTTAGTCAGACCTTTAGACTTCCGAATTTGATTTTCTTATTTAATTCTCGACGATGACGCCGTACAGTTGATGTAGGAATTTTATATTGTCTGCGTGCTTTATTAAATGCTTAATTAATACGACATGTCACTGCATAATACTTAATGCCTCGTCCGTATCTTATTTCTTTTATTATAAATTCGTTTCAACATGTATTAAGCAATATAATTAAACAAAGAAGAAAATCAAAATGAAAGCAATATTATATGTTGTTGAATGTATTATCTTAAGACATTCCGCAGATAAATGTTAATAATAGCGAGAGTAATTCCTTAAATAGTACCAGTACGATTTGGAAATCTTACGTGGCCACGACTTAAGGCACGGCACAGAATAAAGCTATTATCAGTTGTATATTTATCTGCATAAATAACTGAATTGAAGACGAAATCCAGATTATATCATTTACAACGATACACGCTTCACTAAAAACAAAAAAAAAAAAATGATATAAAGATTATAGGCTGTATTGTGTAGTAACTCAGTTAATTTCAGGTAATGTAAAAATTATTGTTATCATTGTACACTCTATCCCCAAATAGAAACGGCTCGTCGTTTTACATTGTTGTTCCCAAGAATTCTAAAATTAAATTTAAACAATTTAATTATTGATAATTGGTCATTAATAATAAATATTTAAAATTTATTAAGAATATTACATTTTATATTCATACTTACCTTATAGTTTTTAATAAAAGAATCATCACATTCATTAGGATTTTTTGGTCGTGGCTAAAAAATAAAATAAAAAATATTTACTTTATTTCTTATACGTACAGTTTAATTAATGATATTTTAAAAAGGAATACTCACTTTGATTCCATTTAAAACTTCTAGTTGAAATGCTATACGGTATTGAGACGTCTGATGAAATATAATTATGTGAAATTTAACTACAGACATTTCAAATAAAAATATTTGAAACAAAAGTTTTTACCTCTCGAATATACGAATTTACTTTGATGGAGCATTTCGTATCAAGTTTTTTCTGACATGAAAATAGTTTCTAACGGAAGAAAGAAAAAAAATTTTTAAATCATTTGGCTTCAAGGCTTTTGTTTATAGTTATTTTTAGTTATAATATTTTGGACTATATATATAGTCCAAATTTATTAAAGTTTATTAAGAATATTGTTGAATATGTGTTGAAAGTCCATTTCTGATCTAATTATAATCAAGCTTTTTAAGATTTTGTCGCCTGTAGGCAGATAAAATTTTGCGCCCTTTTGTGAAAGAAAAGATAGGATAGAACATTAGATATATGTTAATTTTTGAACATTTATAAACATTAATCTTTTATAATCAATATAATTAAGTTAACTTCATTTAGTTTCGAAAATACATTACCCAGAAACACTTATTTTTATAGAAATTTTACATATTAACAAACAAATCATGTAATTATAACGTTATTTATAAAAATTTTCCACCTTAGGCACATGCCTACTTTACCCATTGAAAACTGCTTCTGTATTATAATGTAGCATAATATTCACATAAGTTTAATCCGATTTTTTTCTATTTCTATATTCCTTACCCTACCTATATTGGCCCGTCCCATTGACATTTATTCTTTCGTGTCAAAATAGAAGTTAAGCAATCATATTGCCGATTAAATAAATCAAAACAAAATTAATGTGCAGAAGATAGACAATATCTTAAATTAAATTATGACTGAAATAAGAACAGTAATGAATGGTTTGACCAATATATAAATGAATTTTATAGTAATAATAGTAGATACAGTATGATGGTCTCTGCCCCAGCAAATGTTATTCATTTATTAATCTCAATAATCTTATAAGGATTATTGGGATTAAGAAATAAATAAAAACATAAAACATTGGTTAAGCAATTGTGCTTGAAATTGAATCTCCATTTATGGTTGTTTCTTTATAAATAAGTACAAATTTTATAGCACTAGAGAGGGGTTGAGATTTCACGTCGACTTGAAATGCATATGTAGAAGAAAGAATTTAAGGAATTGTACGTCTTAACTTTTGGATATTTTAGCTTATTTGCAGAACGAAATACTATACCTATAAATATAGGATTATTTAGTTAAAACTCGTAAGAATACAGAAACATATAATTAAAAAAAGTATAAAATAAACGTTAAATTTCATCTCCGCATGTAGATAATTCAAGACATCCAAATTGTTTCTAATGTTAATTGTAACGTACAATTTACGGACGAATGTGAAATGGTAATCGGTTAAAAAGTTAAATTTGAAGAAAATATATATACTCGGCACCATCGAAAACAGCTAGAAACATACTTTGTGCTCGTTGGTATATTTGTATTAAGTAATTTTCTTTTTATAGTAAATTACAGATTTGCCACTTTTTATAATAATATCCATGTTTAATATGATTTGATCAGACGTTTTACTACATTTCTAACAATTTTTTTGATGTAAAATTAAATGTTACTTGCATTTTATCATATAGGGCCTATTTATTTTACAGTAATAAGACTTATTAAAATGTAATATTTAATTTTTTGAAAAATATTAAAAATTTTAATTACTTTATTTGTAAATAACCTAGCTTTAAAGTTGATTTTTATTTAAAAATTAAATCCTTAATAAATATAAGAATTCGATGTTTAACATTGGAAATTGAAAAACTTTTCAGAAAAAAATAGTCTTTCCATTACAATGTCATTCACAGAAATCCCGAATGGAAGGAATATGTCGGATGTACAGTACAGTAAAGATCTGTATAACATAAAATATATTTTAACCATTAAATTTTCCAATACAACTGCTTAAAATTTTAAATTAATGTTTACTTATTCAGCACAGTTTACAGGTTAAAATTAATGGAAAATAAGATAGTTGAAGACATTTTAGAAGCTCGATTATTCTTAAATAAAACGCTATTAAACGCGTCAATCAAAATAAGAAAATTTATTAATTTTTTTTCCGTAATCGTAAACATATAATTCAAATTTAAAAAATATTCTATTACCGGTATATATTTCATTATAAAAGACATAAAAAGCTGACTTACCCTAGAGATACGCGCGATAAAACAATCATGAAAAGTCTGTAAAAAGAAAGTTTATCGTGTACAGTAATTATCCAATTGAAGNTAACTATAACGTTACTTATAAAAATTTTCCACCTTAGGCACATGCCTAATGTACCCATTGAAAACTGCTTCTGTATTATAATGTAGCATAATATTCACATAAGTTTAAACTGATTTTTCCCTATTTCTGTATTCCTTACCCTACCTATATTGGCCCGTCCCATTGACATTTATTCTTTCGTGTCAAAATAGAAGTCAAGCAATCATATTGTCGATTAAACAAATCAAAATAAAAATGTGTTGAACATAGACAATATCTTAAATTAAATTATGACTGAAATAAGAACAGTAATAAATGGTTTCACCAATATACAAAAATTTTATAATAATACTAGTTCTGTAGATACAGTATGATGGTCGCTGCCCGAGCAAAGTTTATTCATTTCTTAATCTCAATAATCTTCGTGAGATTATTGAGATTAATTAATAAATAAAATCATAAAACATTGGATAAGCACTTCTACTTGAAATTGAATATCCTCCTATGGTTGTTTCTTTATAAATAAGTACAAATTTTATAGCACTAGAGAGGGGTTGAGATTTCATGTCGACTCGAAATGCATATGTAGAAGAAAGAATTTAAGGAATTGTACGTTTTAATCTTTGGATATTTTGGAAATACTATACCTATAAATATATGATTATTTAGTTAAAACGGTAAGAATACAGAAACATATAATTAAAAAAAGTATAAAATAAACGTTAAATTTCACCTTCGCGTGTAGATAATTCAAGACCTCCAAATGTCTAATGTTCACGTACACATACACGTACGTAACATACAGTTCACAGCTCAATTTGAAATGGTAATCGGCTAACAAATCAAATTTTGCGAAAAATCAACAAAATATATAAACTCGGCACCATCAGAAACATCTAAAAACAAATTTTTTGCTGGTTGGTAGCTTTGTATTAAGTAATTTTGTGGTTGACTACACCTATAACACTATACTTATGGAACTCAAAATCGTGTATAAACGCAGTGTTTGTAGCACGGCTTTACGACACGTCTTTATAACAGTGTTTGTACACGATTTTGAGTTCCATGAGTATTTTTCGTTTATAATTAGAATCGTTGATTTTCTTCAAAATGTTTTTGAGTTGTTTTTTTCAATTAATTTGATTGTTATGATTTTTATGTATTGTGTCAGCTTGTCTAATTGCTGTCTAATGTCATTTATTTGTGTTTCTATTCTTCTCTGCTAGGCAGGCTTGTGATAGAATTGTGTTTTGTGTATATCTGTCTGCGATTGTATTTTCAGTCCATAGTGTGATCAGTCCACTAGTGCGATGCTCCAGCATAAACTAATGTATGAATGCCTGAAGGTCTAGAGTATATATATATATATATATATATACACAGTAGACCCTCCTGTAACACTGTAGATAATTCCGTGTTGCATGAATTCCATGTTGTACGAGCCACTTTAATTTTACAAATACGTGAGCCGTTCACAGCCCTTCACACGTATGTGTAAAATCTAAGTGTTTCCGTACAACGTGGAATTCATATAACACGGAATTATCTACAGTGTTATAGGGGGTCTACTGTATGTATACTGCATATATTTTGTGTTGAAAATTTATGTCTGATCTTAAAATTCTAATTAAAATTAAGCATTTTTAAGATTTTGTCGCCTGTAGGCAGATAAAATTTTGCGCTTTTTTGTGGGAGAAGGAATAGGATACAACAGTGGTTCCCAATTAGTGGTACGCGTACCCCCAGGAGTACGCGAAATTGCATGAAGGGGTACGCGCAGCAATCTCAAATCGGTCGATTTAAAATTTAAATGCACGACATGAAGCAATTAATAAAAATAATGGGTGGACCGTCAAAAATTCGGCAATTTACAACACGATGTCGAATGCACAAATTCGTTTATTTATAACTAAAAATATTCTCGAAATTTCATTTTAAAAAAATGCATTTGTGACAATACCTAAATAAAATTCTTACGCAAGAAACAAAACTTGTATAATTAACACAAATTGTGTTAATTGTAGAATTATCATTACTATTATGTCAGCGAAACGGCAATAAAATATTTACTACCATTTTGCACAAAATACCTCTGCGAGAGCGGATTTTCGGTCATGACAAACACGAAATTAAACAACGTCACCGACTTCGACTCGAAGATAACTCGAGACTGTAGCTGACCAAAAAGCAACCAGATTTTACAAATTTGTGCGAAGATAATCGAGCACATTTGTCACATTAAAATTAAATAACCGTATGTTATTTTCATTATTATTAAAATTGTATTTTAAAGGCAATAAATGTAAAAAAATTTATTCTAGTTTTCACTAGCTGTCTACCCACGGCTTCGCCCGCATTATATTGAATTTTCTCGTTGGAATAAGATATTTTCTCGCAGTACAATGTAGTCTATGTCCATCTCCAACGTGTAAGCTATCTCTGCGCCAAATTTTATTAAAACCTGTTCAGCGGTTTAGACGTGAAAAGGTGACAGACAGACAGAATTACCTTCGAATTTATAATATTAATATGGATTAATATGAATTTCTGCTATAAGGGGTACGCGAGTTTGAGCTCTTTCTTGAAGTGGTACGCAGGAAAAACTAATTGGGAACCACTGGGATAGAACATTAGATATATTTTAATCCTTGAACATTTATAAACATTAATCTTTTATAATCAATATAATTAAGTTAACTTCATTTAGTTTCGAAAGTATATTACCCAGAAACACTTATTTTTATAGAAATTTTACATATTAACAAACAAATCATGTAACTATAACGTTACTTATAAAAATTTTCCACCTTAGGCACATGCCTAATGTACCCATTGAAAACTGCTTCTGTATTATAATGTAGCATAATATTCACATAAGTTTAAACTGATTTTTCCCTATTTCTGTATTCCTTACCCTACCTATATTGGCCCGTCCCATTGACATTTATTCTTTCGTGTCAAAATAGAAGTCAAGCAATCATATTGTCGATTAAACAAATCAAAATAAAAATGTGTTGAACATAGACAATATCTTAAATTAAATTATGACTGAAATAAGAACAGTAATAAATGGTTTCACCAATATACAAAAATTTTATAATAATACTAGTTCTGTAGATACAGTATGATGGTCGCTGCCCGAGCAAAGTTTATTCATTTCTTAATCTCAATAATCTTCGTGAGATTATTGAGATTAATTAATAAATAAAATCATAAAACATTGGATAAGCACTTCTACTTGAAATTGAATATCCTCCTATGGTTGTTTCTTTATAAATAAGTACAAATTTTATAGCACTAGAGAGGGGTTGAGATTTCATGTCGACTCGAAATGCATATGTAGAAGAAAGAATTTAAGGAATTGTACGTTTTAATCTTTGGATATTTTGGAAATACTATACCTATAAATATATGATTATTTAGTTAAAACGGTAAGAATACAGAAACATATAATTAAAAAAAGTATAAAATAAACGTTAAATTTCACCTTCGCGTGTAGATAATTCAAGACCTCCAAATGTCTAATGTTCACGTACACATACACGTACGTAACATACAGTTCACAGCTCAATTTGAAATGGTAATCGGCTAACAAATCAAATTTTGCGAAAAATCAACAAAATATATAAACTCGGCACCATCAGAAACATCTAAAAACAAATTTTTTGCTGGTTGGTAGCTTTGTATTAAGTAATTTTGTGGTTGACTACACCTATAACACTATACTTATGGAACTCAAAATCGTGTATAAACGCAGTGTTTGTAGCACGGCTTTACGACACGTCTTTATAACAGTGTTTGTACACGATTTTGAGTTCCATGAGTATTTTTCGTTTATAATTAGAATCGTTGATTTTCTTCAAAATGTTTTTGAGTTGTTTTTTTCAATTAATTTGATTGTTATGATTTTTATGTATTGTGTCAGCTTGTCTAATTGCTGTCTAATGTTATTTATTTGTGTTTCTATTCTTCTCTGCTAGGCAGGCTTGTGATAGAATTGTGTTTTGTGTATATCTGTCTGCGATTGTATTTTCAGTCCATAGTGTGATCAGTCCACTAGTGCGATGCTCCAGCATAAACTAATGTATGAATGCCTGAAGGTCTAGAAATTGAATGAATGTAGTGTGGTAGTAAGTGAGTGTTTACGTAATTTAGTGTTTTTTCCCTACTACCTTTGATGTGTTGATTTTTGGTATTCGTAATTATTGCATAGGATCTGTACCTCTATATTTAGTGTTTCCTGAAATATAAGTGAGAGCGTATTAACTAAATCTATATCTATGTTATCAGTGGTGGATTAGGAAGTGTTGTTGCTGGATTATCCTGACAGGTTACTTGATCTTCATTTGATAAGTTTCGGGTGTTGTTTGTGGGATAAGATTGTAGGGTATAATTGTTCTTTTTTTTAATCAACAACCCTTTGTTCGGTGACAGTGAGGTGAGGTTATTATTATTATGTTGGGTTTTGTGAGTTTTACTCGGTTGACACCGGTAGCTGTGTACCATGCCGGTCCAGAGTCAAGGCATAGTAACCAAAAAAAAAAATTTAAAAGTTTATCAGTGTGTCTGTCTGTATTCAGGAGTTTCCTAATAATATGACATATATTCAGTATAGTGGCTTTCTGTAGTGTGATGTATATGTTTCTATTCAATTGTAATGTGCCAGGCTTTTGCGTAGTGTGTGTGGTATGACACCTGTAGAGAAGAGAACGACAAGTACAATAAACACACTATCCATCCTTCACAGTTGCCTTATTTCCTGGGCAAGTTCTGTATTCTTGCTGGTTTTTTTCAGTGCGTGTGTTTGTATATTGTGAGTGTTTGGAACAGATATATCTATAATGTATGTTATTTTATTGTGTTTGTCAATGAGTCTGATGTCTGGTCTGTTGTGATAAATTGTTTTATCCGTAATTATGACTCTGTCATAGTACTTTTTGTGCGTATTGTTTTCCAATACTGTATTTGTAGTATGGTTCATGGATGTCTAATAATTTGTGTTTGTTTGCAAGCTCTTGGTGTATTATATTTGCAACTTGATTATGTCTATGTAAATAATCTATCTGTGCCAAGAGCTTGCAACCGGAAGTGATGTGTTGTATAGTTTCTGGCATGATGTGACATTTTTTGCAATCGTCATTTGTGAGTGTTGTATCTTTAAGTATGTTTTCTGTAGTTTATAGTATCCATGACCAGATCCTGTATGGCAATCATGAACCTTCCGTCTCCCTTATTATTATTATTATTATGTGTTGGGTTTAGCGGGTTNATTTAAAAAATCTATCTAAAAATCTAAATTATTTTAGAAAATTTTCCTGAATTAGTTAATTAAATATAATGCTAAATAAAAGTTTACATTATAAAAATCCGTTTATTCACATACGTTTTCATCTTATTCGTTATTATTTGATAAACAATATTAATTACAGTAATGAAATGAAACGAAAATGCTATAATTGAAATAAATAAAAATAAGTAGAAAGGATTATTGAAAAAAGGTGGGTGATAAATTGAAATCGTATGACACGTGTGCCACTTTGAACACACTTTCGCCAACCCTGCTCTATATGATCGCCACCCTGCTCTATATTAATTTTAGTTTTTTTTTTTTCAATAATTTATGTACAGAATAGTAATTCTGTACATAAATTATTGAAAAAAAACTGAAATTAATAAGAATATATACACATCTATAAAAATATAACTAATAGTATTATAAATTTTGTTGGAATGTGTTCAAAAGTGATCTTTACTCTTTCGATGTATGTGTGAGTATGCCGTTAATAATTTAGTGATATCAAAAATATTTGAAAAGCTATGGATTTGGTAAAACAAATCTATAAGAAAATTAAATAACATTGAAAAAAATTACTTGAATTAATTAAAGTAGCATTAAAAATTTTATAGATTTTCTGAACTTTTCATATTAATTATTCCGCTTAACTATATTACGAGTAGAATTACGATACATCTTGATTGATTTTATGTTACTTTCGTATTAACTATTAAATTAATAAATGTTTATCTAATTGTTTCAAAAGGCTAATTATTGAATAATTATTATTAATTCACGTTGTTATAGAAATAATTGCAAAGTTTTCTTATACACTTATAACATTTACAAATAAGGAAACTCACCGACAGTTTCTTTAACTTTTTCCTTCTCCAGTTTGTGGCTAAGATCATAGTCGGTATCTTGTCCCAAGCAATAAAAGGCGAGGGAAAGGATCATATAAACGATCGAAGAAAATTTAACATACATCTTTATTGAATGATTTCAGAAAATTGAAGTTTTATTCCACTTATATTACTATTATAAATTCTAAAAATATAATGAATTGCTAATTAATACTATATTCTATACAAACATTTAAATATTCTGTATTTAAAACAGCTGTAGTCTTCATGCATGAGATATTTTTCATGAAATTTCACATTCGAGTATGATAATACGAAATTATACGATGTTAATTCATTTTAATGTGTATATTTGATAGTTGAAAAATATCTAATATAAAGCAAAAATTAAAAAAAAAACTAATTTTATATAGGCCTATACAATTTATTTCGTCAATGNCAGATAATTCATAAAAATAAAATAATGTAAATATCCAATCCAATTAAAATAATTAAAGTAGTATATTAGACTAATAATAGATTTAATTTACATTAAAATTAGTGTTGCTGTTTATTTTACTTATATGCTTCAAATTTGGCAATGTCTCGAAGACAATATATGCCACCCCCGCTACAACAATACCAATAACAATAACATAACATATAGAAACTCACAAAACAATACTGTACATATTGTTAAGAATAAAGCATTTCTTTTACTTTTTGTCTGTTATACAGTATATAACAGAGGGGAAAGTATGTCGATCGGTCAAAAAAATGACCCTTTCTCCAAGAGTTTACATTTTTGGATTCGGCGGACCATGAAACGTCGCGATATACAAATAATTCGGGGATTTTTCTGTATGTATGGATGTTTGCTGGTGTGTGTGAATGTGGCACGATTTTGTTCAACCAGTTTGAAGCTTAATAACTCTTGTGCTTTTTGTGGAAAATTTATGAAATTTTGTAGGGAGGTTTTTGTATTAAGGGGAATGATCATATTAAATTTTGGAGATTAAAGGTCAAGGAGGTGGGGTGATAAAGGAGGACGTGTATATTTTCAGTAGCGTCATACGTAATGACGATATTACTCGTTATTAACACTTACAATTTTTTTAAATAAAATTCATCCGTGCCGTGAAAATTAAGCTTTTTGCCATTTTATAATAATTAAATACAATGGTACCTCAGGTTACGAACGCCCCAGCATACGAAATTTTCAGGATACGACATGAAATTCGAACATATTTTTGCTCCACGATACGAACAAAAACTCATCATACGACGTTACATTAGTTCGCATTTTTCATTTGTTTTTCTTACTACAGTTATTTTTTTAATGTATTATTTGGCTTTAATTTGAGTATGCTTTTCTCGTTGGAACGAATTTTTTGGTTTTACATGTAATCGTGTGGGAAAAGATGATCCACCTTACGACATTTTCATGATACGATCTCAGTTTCGGAACGGATTAATTTCGTATCCTGAGGTACCACTGTATATAAAAATATTTTAATAATATAATATCATAACAGATTGTATCAGACACGCAGTTTTAAATGTTGCCGAGAAAGTTAAGCAACTCGTTTCTGAATTCTTTTCAAATAGCCTATAAGAATAAAGAAAAAAATAGTTTATATTCAACTTTAATGGCGGTTTTTTGATGACGATAAAAAACCGATATAACCGTTACATTAAGGCGACAATATGGCGTATAAATGTAAGATGACAATATGGGATTAAACAAAAGTATATGAATGTACTACTGAGATGGAAGTTAGACGTTAAAATATTTATAGGTAGAAATGCAATCAAATTATCCTATATAATGCTTTCATAAAAAAATTTAGCAACGAGTTGCGTAACTTTTCCGGCTTTTATTAAATTTTATTCTAAAAATAACATTTGTATTATTAATCAAAATAAATAACTAAAATTCTTTGTGGCCCTATCTGTTATGAGATTGTGTTATTAAAACTTAATACAGTAGCAAAATACAATAATCTTTTATAATCAATATAATTAAGTTAACTTCATTTAGTTTCGAAAGTATATTATTCAGAAACACTTATTTTTATACAAATTTTACATATTAACAAACAAATCATGTAATTATAATGTTATTTATAAAAATTTTTCACCTTAGCCATATGCGTACATTACCCATTCAAAACTGCTCCTGTATCATAATGTAGCATAGTATTCACATAAGTTTAAACTGATTTTTCCCTATTTCTGTATTCCTTACCCTACCTATACAGTACAGTACCCTACCCTACCTATACAAATACAGTAGCAAAATACTTAATTTTGAGTGTTAAGATGAATCTTATAAAACACTCTAAATGCAGAAAAAGTAACATTTTCATTAAGTTTGACTTCTCGCGAGATATTACACGTAACCACCCTCTATCTTTTTATCTGCTTGACCTTTCACAACCAAAATTTAATTGCACACGAAATTTTTTTGCCGTTTATTTTTACATTTTTAGATTCAAAGGGTCTCAAAACGTGAATATTTGCAAAAAACTGGGAGTGAGAAATTTGACACGCTTCCATACTTTTTTTAGTTATGCATACATAACTGCTGGGAAAGTAAAAGGAAATGAAAATTCTTTAAAATGTTATCAAATTTATAGGAGGGTCTTAGATGCGAATTTCTGGTTTGAATACTTTTTTCAAATTTTCTATACTGTTTAGGATTATTTAAATTAAATTATATAAATAAATACAAATATAATTTATACAAAGTATAATCAATAATACTGGCAACTGAAAAAACAACTGGTAGACAGAGATAAGTGTACTTCCATTTTGCATGAGGATAGGATTAACTTATGACTAAAGTTCTTTATGGAACATGTATATAAATACGAGATCTTATTTTATATTAAATTTATTAAATAACGAAATATTAATATCTAAAAGATAGGAATTTTATAAAATCTTACCCTTTCTCTCGTGAAATTCGAAAAAAAAAGACATTTAAAAAAATCTTCTAGACATATCTTGTCATCAACTGTAATGACATAAATTTGTTTTATAAACAACGAAAAACTTATTTATTATTATAATAAAAAATTTCAAGAAACTAAAAAATTTTAGAAAATTTTTCTGAATTAGTTAATGTAAAATAAGAGTTTACATTATAAAAATCTATTTATTCATACGCGTTTTTACCGTATTCATTTTTATATAATAAACCATAGTAATTTGACTAATGAACTTTGATAATGAAAGTTTTAAAATTCAATTAATTAATTTAAAATTTATTCTTAATTATTTCGGAGGAAAAATCAAATCCGTTTATGTTTAACTTAAAATAAGTTAAATTAGAAAAAAGCAATTATTTGTGACATCGTCATAATAAATAATTTTTGCGATTATTCCTGGCTGAAATTTTTAATCTTATTTTTTCATAATCATAATTAAGATGAAAAAACAATGAACCTGTTTCCTTTAAGGAATTTATCACTTCTCCAATCAGAAAAATTCTAATTGATATCATAATATTACTTTACTAGCAGACTTGGCCACGCGTTGTTGTGACTCAAAATGTATCTATTATAAATGTATAACACTTCCCCAGCGGGGGGAATTTCGAAAAATTCCTTCTTAGTATACATTCTCTTGACGTACCCTATTAAAATGCAATCAAAAACACGAAGAATCGCATCTAAAATAGTATAATAGAAGCTGAGTTCGTCACGGTAAGCCTTAATCTTGTCCTCTCCCCCGGGGGGGAAATTTCGACATCTAAATAATATAAAAACACCCGCGAATTCGAATGCAACGTTATATGAAAATTTCAAAGCAACCGGTGAAGAAGTTTCGGAGATTTAAGATTTTGAACAAACGAACATTACATTTATATTTATGTAGATATAAGAGAGGCTTCTTTAAATGCATGAAGAATAAACTATTATTACAGTATATTTATCATAAAATTTTGATAAGTTTGATTAATTAAAACAATGTAATTATTTGTAATTGCAAACGTATTTTATGCTAGAACTATAATATAAAATACTTATTCATATATTAATCCATTTATGTTATGAACATATTGTACATACAGTATGTATACGAATATTTTACCTATTATATACACTTAAAAAGTTATTATAAGAAAACATGTCTTTAATAGTGTTAAATTATTTGAATTTTCATTTTCCAATTTACCTTAAAAATATTATAATATACTTACAATTGTATACGTTATTGCAAATACTGCAAAGGATGACAATGCAAAGAAAGTATTTCATGATTGTTTTCGGTTGTGGATAATTTTATGTTTAAGAAAATTCTCAACTGAAATCAGTTTTGTAAAATTTAATTATATTTATAGAATATTTTTGAATATTCCATTTTATTATTGATGAAGATACATCACATCTTTCGCGATAATTTAAAGAGAAAGATAATCAATTGAAACAATAGATTTAATAGTTTTACTTTGAAATATGAATATAAAATTACATATGAAGAAATTCCGAAATAATTTATTTTATATAATTTGTAAATACAGTAAGCTAGAATGAATAACACTTGAAATTATTACAAAAAAACTGAAATAGAACAAGTAAAACTGCAAGGCCACTTTTGTGACAAGACATGTCTCCGAGTCTCACTTCGACATTCACGGCGGGTCTCCAATCTTCTCTCGTATTTGAGGTTTTGAGTGCGATCGTTCAAACTTCGCCAACCTTGGCCACGGCCACGATCAAGAGGTCGTTTTTTTTGGATTAAAGAGACGTTATATATACTAATTGAATATACAACAATCATATTATACTAACAAAATTGATGATAGTTATTGTACAAAAATCTCTATTACATGATTTACAAGGATATACACTTCACTAAAAATAATAACTGTTATGAAGTTTCTAGGTTATATTACTGTTTAGTAACTTATATATTTAAATAAATAAGTTTAATATTTTACACTCTTCACCCAAATTGGCAAGGCTCGTATTTTCACATTGTTCTTTCAAAGAATTCTAAAATTAAATATTTAAATTATCGATTATTGATCATTAATGACAAATATTTAAAGTTCATTAATGTTCTTATTAGTACTTACACCATACATAATAATAAAAGAATCATCGCATTCATCAGGACTTGTTGGTCGTGGCTAAAAAATTAAAAAAATAAAAATGTTTAAACTTTATTTCCAATACAGACATCTTAATTAATGCTATTTAAAAAAGAAATACTCACTTTGATTTTATTGAAAACTTCTTCGTTAAATACTAGATAATATTGAAACTTCTAAATTGAAATATAATTATGTAAAATTTTACTCAAAAAATTCTAAATAAAATAAATAATTAAAAGCAATAAATTTACCTCTTCGAAATAAGAATTTATTTTGATCGAGCATTCCACACCTACTTTTACATGACACATTAAAGTATCCTTTGAAGGAAAAAAAAAACCCAAATTTTTAATTATTTGGATTTAAGATTAGTGTTTACTGTGCACATACATTATGGGCTGAAAATCCATTTCTCATATTAATTTCTAATTATTTTTAGCATTTTGTTGTCTATAGACAGATAACATTTTGCTCCCATTTTTGTAGTAAGAGGAATAGGATAAAACATTAAATGTATTTTTATTCTTGCACATTTAAAAGCATTAATTTTTTTTTATAATAAAAATAATTAACTTATTTTCACTTAGTTACAAAAGTATTTTATCTCGAAACGTTTGTTTTTACAAAATAGTGCTGCGGATGGACGGCAATGAGAAATTAATAAAAGTTTTCAATTTTTAATAAAAGAGATGGAAAATACAAATATGCAAATGATAAAATAATAAGAAAAATTACTATTTTTTCCCGTAATCGCATACATATTATTCAAATTTAGAAAATATTCTATTATTTATTTTATTATAAAGGGTACAAAAAGCTGACTTACCCCAGAGTTCAGCACGTTAATACAGTAAGGAAAAGTCTGAAAAAAAATTCGTGTAATTAATAAATATTTATGATGAAATTGATAATTTTTTGTCTGAAAATTAATACAGGTAACCCCCGTATAACACGGCACTTCTATAGCACGGATTCACTCTAACACGGTTCGAGAATTGGTACCATCCCCCGTATTACACGGTACTTCTATAGCACGGATTCACTCTGACACGGTTCGAGAAATGGGTAAAACTCTCGTATAACATGAAATGTAATAAATTTTTACATACTTAAGTACTAATAGTTCACGAAAATTATTTTCTTGAACTATTAGAACTTCAGTGTGTGAATTTTCTTTTCTCGTCTCCATACACATGGTCCTTCGCGAAAATTGTTTCAATTTTGCCATATCTCGACGCTTTTGCTTCTGGTGTTGCCAGATGTTTTTCCCTTATTCCATAAGTGCTTAGCACCATATAAGGAAATTTATAAAGATCTTTTAACTAGAAGCAAGCAATCTAAAATTACATACACTTTTTGCAAAAGGTAAAGCATGAATCTGAGAATAATGCAGAAAAATGCGCAGAGGATAACGATAACTTGCCAAAAATAAAACGCTTTCGTTTAGTAGTGCTTTTAGTGATGACAAAGAAAACATTGTTTAATTTATATTAATATGTATCACTTAAATATCTTTATTAAAATTTTCTTATCTTAATTATGAAAATATAGTAGCATTATTTTTAATTTTTGGAACCTAACCTCCTTTTCGTACTAGTTCTTTGTTTCGCATAACACGGATTCGCATAACACGGCAATTTTTTGGAACGTAACTACCGTGTTATACGGGGGTTACCTGTATATAATATTTTATAAGCCTATATATATATATAAATTATTAAATTGAAATTAATTTTACTTACATAAAAAACACTTCATTTGTTTCATATAATTATTAATTAAAAACTATTTTAAATGTATTTTGTACAAATTACATTTACGAAAAATTAAATTAAAATATTCATTCTTGAAATTTTAATGAATTTTAACTAACTTATATTACTCACAGTATATTTTTTATGTTGTTAATTATTTATATAAAAAAACTATTAAATAATTATCAAGATACAATCACTCCAAAAATATTTTATTTTATAAAATTAGTATTAGTAATAAGTTAAAAATTTCATATGAAATATACTTTTTATTGTTTAAATAACTTACAAAGAACCAAATACTCTGGCTGTCATTTAATGTTTTCACGCAACACTCTTTAGCTGCTTCAATATACTAAAAGTAATAAAATATAAAACGAAAAATAATATATTTTATCATTAAAATATGGATAAAATATTTTTATAAGTTATAAATTATAAGCTGAATTTTTTCATTAAAAACTCAATGATAAATGCAAGAAAAGTAGTTAAATAGGTTTAATTAGATTTAGAGGTATAGTGATTTATGAATAAATACTTCCATTTTGCATCAGGATTAACTTATGACTAATATTTTTTTATGGAACATTTATATAAATACTAGAACTTATTTTATATTAAATTTATTAAATAAATAATATTAATATATAAAAATAAAATGCATTTAAAATCTCACCCTTTCCTTCGTGAAATTCGAAGAAAGAAGACATTTATAATATTTTTCTATACATGTCGACTTATCATCTATAATTACATAAATTTGTTTTATAAACAATAAAAAAAATTATTTATTATTTAAAAAATCTATCTAAAAATCTAAATTATTTTAGAAAATTTTCCTGAATTAGTTAATTAAATATAATGCTAAATAAAAGTTTACATTATAAAAATCCGTTTATTCACATACGTTTTCATCTTATTCGTTATTATTTGATAAACAATATTAATTACAGTAATGAAATGAAACGAAAATGCTATAATTGAAATAAATAAAAATAAGTAGAAAGGATTATTGAAAAAAGGTGGGTGATAAATTGAAATCGTATGACACGTATGCCACTTTGAACACACTTTCGCCACCCCTGCTCTATATGATCATACTATTCTGTACATAAATTATTGAAAAAAAAACTAAAATTAATAAGAATATATACACATCTATAAAAATACAACTAATAGTATTATAAATTTCGTTGGAATGTGTTCAAAAGTGATCTTTACTCTTTCGATGTATGTGTGAGTATGCCGTTAATAATTTAGTGATATCAAAAATATTTGAAAAGCTATGGATTTGGTAAAACAAATCTATAAGAAAATTAAATAACATTGAAAAAAATTACTTGAATTAATTAAAGTAGCATTAAAAATTTTATAGATTTTCTGAACTTTTCATATTAATTATTCCGCTTAACTATATTACGAGTAGAATTACGATACATCTTGATTGATTTTATGTTACTTTCGTATTAACTATTAAATTAATAAATGTTTATCTAATTGTTTCAAAAGGCTAATTATTGAATAATTATTATTAATTCACGTTGTTATAGAAATAATTGCAAAGTTTTCTTATACACTTAGACCTATAACATTTACAAATAAGGAAACTCACCGACAGTTTCTTTAACTTTTTCCTTCTCCAGTTTGTGGCTAAGATCGTAGTCGGTATCTTGTCCCAAGCAATAAAAGGCGAGGGAAAGGATCATATAAACGATCGAAGAAAATTTAACATACATCTTTATTGAATGATTTCAGAAAATTGAAGTTTTATTCCACTTATATTACTATTATAAATTCTAAAAATATAATGAATTGCTAAATAATACTATATTCTATACAAACATTTAAATATTCTGTATTTAAAACAGCTGTAGTCTTCATGCATGAGATATTTTTCATGAAATTTCACATTCGAGTATGATAATACGAAATTATACGATGTTATTTCATTTTAATGTGTATATTTGATAGTTGAAAAATATCTAATATAAAGCAAAAATTAAAAAAAAAATTAATTTTATATAGGCCTATACAATTTATTTCGTCAATGAAAATTACTGTCTGAAGTTGTAATTTATATATAAGGATACGAATGATAAATGTAATGGTAAAAGGAGTGTCTACTTCTTCGTATCTTATATAATTTACCCGCATTAAAATCATTAAATTTTTAAAATTTTATTATTGTACGACACAACAAATCACTAATAAATCAGATTAATCAATATATAAATGTCAAAACTTAAATTTTCTTCTAAAGTTTTAAATAGAATTAAGCACCTTCTTTTAGAAATTGCTAATCTTCTATACAAAAAGGAAAAGGTAGAAACGTAACAATAACTTATTATTTAATATGACAAAGCAATAGCTTTGCTTCAGTAACTCCAGTTCTGTTACTGTGTTTAATAAATACATATTTTATAATCTGTACAATTATATTTGCTAGACTCGAAGTTTAAAAATAGAAAATTTTGTAATAAACATTTTATTTTGGAAGAAAACTAAAAGACTTCCTTAATCGCTTCATTATTTATTAACAAAGTGTGGTTAAATTTGAATTACATTTGAGATAAATTTTATAATAAATCTTATTCGAATACTTATTAAAACAGTACTAAATTTGAGTAAACTGTAAAATAGAAGTAAAAGATGGGGAAAATAGAATAGAAAGAGGAAATAATAACATAAGAAACGTAGAACGGAAATACAGTTTAGTCAAAATTAGTCAGTAAATAAAGAATTTTAACATTCTGCACAGAAGTTAAAGAAAAACTTGTTAAAAGCCTTATTATTTTATACAGGAAAATAAGGTGTAAATTAACGCCACTATAATTATGTTTAGCTCTGTGTTTTGGATGCTGTATATCTGTATTATTGTTGTATTATTATTATTAAACAATAGAGAAGATTTAACTGTTTTTTTTTAATATTGTCGAGTGTAATATTTTATTTTTAATAAATTTTTATGTAATCGTTATTGATTATTGTAAACCTGCTGAGGAGGGCATAGAAGTTAAGTACAAGTGAAAATAAAGCTACTTTTTGTTTTATTTTTGACCAAGACTTCTTTCCTTTGCTAATTCGAAACTCAACCATTATAATAAGTCTTTTTTATAAACAAGATCTACGTGGACAATATAAAAACAAAATTGAAATATTAAGGAAATAGAGACACGAGGAATTAATGTAAACAGTAAAATAATTATTGTGTTGTAAAAGCTTTGCTTCGACAACAGAGGAATATACGATTAAACATTAATATATTTGTAGTGTTTCATTGTATTTCTGTCCGCTCAGAAAAAAATTGCACGAAAAAATCGTTTGATAATTTATTTTAAAAAATTATGCATTAGTAAAATCTTATTTTATTTAATATTTGTAAATGAACATGTATAACTTTCCCGTTTTTCGCCCAGAAAACTTCTGTTTTGTACTTTTACCAGAATTTATACAATAACACAATATACTGTACTTATAAAAGTACATTTTTATAGTTGAATAATCAAAAAATAACGGGAATTACTCTACTAATATTTAGTTACACTATAGGCTATGTACAGTACTTTTGAGCTTTTTCAGAAGAAAAAATATCCAGCATTTACTTGCTTAACTTTTCCTACGACATTTGGTGGCATCTGTTATCATATTTTATTTTAACTATTATAAAATGACAAAATGCTTAATTTTCAGAATAATGGTGGGTCTTATAAAAAAAAATTGTAAATGCAATTGAGTAAAATCGTCATTATGTCTGATCGTACTGGAGATATACATGGCCCTCTTTATCTCCCCACCCCTCTACCTTTAATCACTAAAATTTAATAGCATCAATCCCCTTAATATACAAACCTCCTTACAAAATTTCAGAAATTTTCGACAAAAAGTACAGGAGTTATTAGGCTTCAAAGAGGGTGAACAAAATTGTGCACCCCAAACACAGATACAGAAAAAAATTCCAATTTTTTTAAAAATATTTCCCAACGTTTCACGGTCTCCTTAATTAAAAAATGTATAAATTTTAGGGGGTCATTTTTTTTAACCATTGGCATATTTTCCCCGTGTTATACACCATGTAACAGAGCTCTTTTTTGATGGAAAAAGTACCGTGTTTTCCCGAAAATAAGATAGTGTCTTATATTAATTTTTGCTCTGAAAAATGCGCTAGGTCTTATTTTCAGGGAATGTCTTATTTTTTCCTGGAAGAAGAATTCACATTTATTATCGAACAAAAAAAATTCCCAAGTCGAACATAGACGAGAGTGACGTATATCCGGTGTGTCGAACTGTCGCCTTTTCATAGCGTCAACATCGGACTCGATGACCAATTAGTGCTTACTGAACCGCAGCACTATGCAAATGTCATGTGGCGTGATTCCCGGCCGACCAATTAGCCATCACCAGCCGTAACTGTGATTCCCAATGCAAATCTGTGATTCCCAAGCCATAGTCTTATGCAAATCATGCCATGTGGCGTAATTGTCTGCTGACCAATTAGTGGCTGTACTTTCAAAAAGCCAACGGCCACTTTGAACCATCTGTCGATGACCGTTACGACTAAAAAAACTTCGCTAGGTCTTACTTTCAGGGGTAGGTCTTATATTTCTCAATTCAGCAAAATCTGTGCTAGGTCTTATTTTCTGCGGATGTCTTATTTTCGGGGAACCACGGTAGGTTATAATTTAGACAGGATGTGCATTTCGGGCTTAATGGTCCTGTTCAGTCCTATTTTATTAAGGAACAACACAGTTTTATTTAATTCACAAAAAATATAGATAAAAAGAATTAGGTTAAGTGACAAGTAATATGGCAATAGAAAGCTTACAGACACAACTTTAAATCATGTGATTTCTTCCGCGGGAATTTGTGCCACGGAAGTTTAATTATAGGTTCAAGTGTGCCGTAAAGGTTGAAAAACACTGCACTACTGTATCTGAGATTGCCTCGTCCACTTCTCTCAACATTGCTAAACAAAAATAGACCCTCCATTAGTATTGTAGATCATAAATAATTATTTATCATATTAAAATTAAACTTATCAAACGTTATCGTTGTAATGCGTGACCCCCAAATATAATGCTATATGGGGAATAGAATTTTCACCCACGTCGGGCAGACCACGTCTTAATACGTTCATCCGATGCGGATGAGGGGTGAAGAACGATTTTAATTATTACTATGATACATTACGAGTATGGGGATCGAACTGGAAACAAACGGCATCACTTTTATCGCATCGTCATTTGGCCGAACTGACATACTGTATTTAAGAGGGATTTATTTTAAAATATGTTTTTAACACGAACAAAAGCTGAAAGTTTCATTGGTTTAAATATACTGTATTTGAACCAATGAAACTATCGTTCGTTTGTCACGTGGGTTGTGCTTTTTTTTTCTTTTTAGCTAAAAACGAACATTTGCGCATTAAGCTCGCGCTGTTCGTTGCAATTCGAACGAATAACCGAAAGAACTTCGATATGCAGGAATAATTTCATATGAAAGAAAAATCGTTTTTAAAGGTAATAAATTTAATTACACGATACAAAATATGTAGAATTTAATGAATAAATTTATTTTTATATAAAGGCTGGATGTAAAGTAATATTTTATATCTTTTATACAGGACATTCGAATTTGAAAATTCAAAATAGCGTTCCAGTTCCTGAATACTTTAGAATTGTACATTAATAGGTAAATTATATATTTATTTACACTTATATTGTATCTTAACAATTGGGATTTTATTTATCTTATCTTAAATTGTTTCGTTTAAAAAATTGTTCATAAAAGTGGAATTAAAATTTGTTGAATGTTGAAGAAAATTCAGTCTATGGTGCATAGTGGAGCTATTTAATCAATTAATAACTTCACTATGCATCTACCCCAACCAAACCTCGTGGTGGGGCTATTAATAGGGTTTAATTGCCTAGTGAATAAGATCAACCATAGTCAGTAACACTAATAACCTTTCGTCGTCCCAATGTAGGAGGTAACAGTCTTCCAAAAGGTATTTTGCTAACTGGGTAAACGAATCTTCAGCTTCGGCTTTCAGTAAAACAAAATGTATCAATCTGAAAACGTTTTCGAAATCCACCCGATTCCAGCTTCGGGCTGAAAGAGTAGATTTCGAATTGGAATGCATCGAATAGAATGCACGCGTAGAATTCAAATTTGAACAGGCCAGTATAAAACATACTCTGAGCTCTACTACGTCGCCCAGGCAATAACGATGTTTCGTTCCATGCTCGCCATACTTTGGATAGCTGTATCTCGTCCCTAGAGTTGATGCAATTGTCAGCTACGGCTGGCTTTAAATAGGCTATTTCAATGGACTGAAAGAGTCTGAAGTGGTTCCAATTTGTAGAGGGTCTGATGAGTTGGGCCTAATTTAATTTAGCCTCTATATGGGCTTTAGAGACAAAGCTAGACGGGACGATGATTTTTTTATAGTGCTTTATGCCATAGTTGTGTTTACGTATCTTCTGTTCTGATGACCTTCTGGTGGCACCCAAGTAGACCAAATCCTTCCCGAACCTCTCGTCTCTTATACACTTCTTGGAGTTTCTGGTGGTTTGGAGATCTTTTCCGATTCCTAATATCGTTTCATAATAAAAAATATCTTCGGGTTCCTCCTATATATAATTCTCAACTCTCTGCACCTTGCTATTCGTGCACAGGCCAATATCGATGGCAGTTTATGGTTGACGTTCATACTCAATAGACAATTTGAGCTCCTCAAAGTCGAGAT